GGTACCAGTTCAGCATGGAGCAGTATCAGCTCAGTATCCAGCGGTGGTGGCTCAGTGGAATCAGCACGGCGGTGACAGCTTTCTGGACCAGAACTCTTTCTCAGCCATAACAGAACCTCTGAGCGGTTAGCTTCAAAAGGTTTACTGGGAAATGTGGAAGGAGAACTCTTGACCTGTTTCAATGGACAGCATCGACTCAGAACCTGCTTTTCTGCTACAGTCATCTAACGGTTGAGTCTCGGTTCTGATCCGAATCAGCTGATCCAGTCATTAAAAATCAAGGCAATGCTTTGATTGATTCACTTTTAGCTTTCTACATTTAGACTTTCATAGAGCAAAGAGTCTGAGTAAGAAAACCCACATTTCTGTCATTGGTTGAGTTACAGACTGACTAAACAAGGTGCCCTAGTGGCTCCTAATAGAGACTGACTCATAACTTCTGATTCAGGGAATAAAGGAAGGAGTGTTTCACTTCTGAAACAGATGATGAGTTCAGGCTTTTCAGAATGACCAAAGATCTTCCTTATGTCAGATCAGTTCAGCAATCCTCTCATTTAAGGTCAAAACATCCTCAACATCAGCATCATGTCTCCTGGAAAATCAGCATTATGCCTCCTGGTATAAGTTCTACCTTTGAGTCAATCAGTCGGACCTCTGCTACCTAAAAACCTCTGTTCTTTAGGGTGGATATATTAGTCAATGACTGATCTGAGCTGCTGTAGGAGCCGTCTGTTGGTAACCGCTTCCTCTCTGTCACACTGACAGCGTTTTAAACCACGCGCCTCATTGTGGCGGTCTGATCTGGTTCTGTTTACATCACAATCTGTGGTTGATGCCAGACTCATACAGACAATACAGACTCATGTTGTTAAATGAGGAGTCGTGGAAGTGGGTTCAAAAAAGGTCATCATGTTAAAACTGAGCCCAGCTATTAGCTTCATTGGAGATAAAATTAAGTATTTTTCAGGTCAACATTCATCTCTTGGTGCGTATGGATGTTCCATTTAGACTTTTCTAACACTTAGGGTCGGATCCGCTGCAGGTACCAGATCTACCCGAGCCCTGCACACACCAGTGACACTATATGATTGGATGAACGTTACCACATGATGTAAAACACCGTGGTTGCCTGGACAACGATTATAAATATGCAGCATCCGTGTGCTGAGTAGGGAGCATCTGTAGCAATAAAGTGTCAAATGATGATCAAGTTTTACCTGATTGATGACAAAACTGATCTGTTGGTACTTTGTTTATGGTGAACAAAGTACCAAAGCTCTTCTTCATATCATGGTTAGACCATGGTATAAAGGGGGAGAGCTGGGTAGCGCTGTGGCTAGCTTTGTATGGGTATATGGCTTATACCCACTTCTAAAATGATACGCACAATTGAGGAGAATCTTAAAGCCAAATTTCCCATTTTTTTCCCAGGCTGGTGAAGGCATCACCTTCATTACTCTGCTTCTAATTGCTAGCACTCACTGGCTTTAGTGATTATATTGTTTAACTGTAGGCATGACGATTTAATAATCCTTCAATAGCAGAAATTAGATGACGTTAAGTAAATACTATAAAGGAATATTTGGGTAAACCACAGGCTAACAGGTTAGCCTCTTTTAGCTCGGTCCATATTACGCTACACTAGTTTTAACTTCATATCAACAACAACCTTTTATTTTCTAATATTAGTAGTAGTAGAATAATTGTTTTATTTGTCTATAATCTAAATGAAATTTTTAAGATCTTCGCATCCTCAGATCTTAATAAGCAGAGTGTTTGTGTCTCCGTGGTAAATGGCAGAGCTCAGTCAGTCTTAGAAGGCAGTTCTGTCCTTCAAGACTGAGAATGATCATTTTCTACCTTCGGCTACTTTAGATCACAGATGAAATTTAAAATAATAGCATATAAAGGTAATATGTTGAGACTCCAGAACAGATCTGATTCTTAAGAAACGATTGCATATGATGATGTCATAAGAAAACGGGGCCCCCGAGCAGATCTGGTACCTACACCGTCACTGAGTATATGGGAAGACATTTGCTCCAATATCAATAAAAGCAAAATATAAATAAATAAATAAAAGATAATAAAGAATAATAATAATCAGGATTGAACCAGTTGAACATTTTGTTTCACTTTGTAAGGCACAGAGACAAGATTAAGAAATCTGCACAGATTGGGATCTGCTCATATGTAGCAGGAGCCTCTGCAAACACTGCAGTGAGACATAAAAATATCAGACCAGAGATCAAAAGACCTGAGCTTAACTGTTACAAGTGGTGTAGTGCGGGGTATACGTGGGTATACAGCGTATGTTCACTTCTAAAAACCCCGTGATCCACACAATTAAGCCAAATTTCCCATTTTTTTCCTAGGCTGGTGAAGGCATCACCTTCACTACTTTGCTTCTAATTGGCTAGTACTCACTGGCTTCAGTGATTATATCAGTTAACTGTAGGCATGACGATTTCATAATCCTTCCTACCTGAGATCAGATAGCAGAAATTACACATCTAAATCTAGATCAGTCATTTTTTCTTAAAATAAGTGCACTTGTTGAGGCGGTAAAAGAGACATTTTGCCAATGGAACAAGGCAGTTTAAACTTCAAATAAGAAAACACAATTTTATTGTCTTATTTTAACTGCATGTTATCTAATCATGTTATCTCATATTCCTACTCAACTTAAGGGTATATACACTAAATTTAAGACATTTTTACTTATTTCGAGATGACATTAAGTAAATACTATAAAGGAATGTTTAGGTAAACATCATAGAGCGGTCTGACATGACATTGTTTCTGGGCGCATTAAAAAAGAGGGTGAGCATCCCCGCTTCTCCAGGGACCCCTACACTACTGCCTGTTACTCTTTGCACAGACAGACCAAATGTTTTCCAGCAGCACCTAGAGCCAAAGTAGTCTCTGGCATGTGCCTTTTAAAAAATAGCATATGCCAGTTGAAAAGTGGCATATGCACATTTTCTCCAGCACATACACACATTTATAACCACATATATAAACACACATATAAGAGCTTTGATGAAACCAGCAAAGTTTCACCAAACTCAAGTGACTTGTTTTAGAGACCTGCATCGGACTCCAAGCAGCTGAATGTGTTTGCTTGTGCCTCGGGCCGGCCCTGCCTCTGGAAGGCAGAATCACAGCCTGTTCTTTAGATTGTAATGAGTCAGAACAGTTGGAGTTTGTTTCTGCTTGTTTGGTAAAAACCCAGAGCGCACCTTGGAAGCTCAAAACTCTCTGAAAAACAGAGAGAAACAGAGAGAGAGAGAGTCCTATTCCACCCCCTCCCTTTCATTTGTGCGGCTCCCAGGAGCCCAAAGTGGCCCCGCGCGCCGCTGAGCTACTTTAACCCGGAGGAAGGTGCGAGTCTCTCAGGTTCCTAAGGAGCTGAGGTCTGGAGGAGGCCATGGTCTCCTCTGCAGCTCCTGCAGCGGATCGGATCCTCCCTGTCACGAGTTTCAGCGCAGCGCTGTGGTGGAAAAAAAGTTGTGTCGTGGACGTGGAGTGAAAGTTCCACTCAGAAAGAGCCTACCTGTTAGGAGGACGGCCGGCAGCAGGAAGCAGTAGACCAGCCAGACGATCACCTGGAGATCCATGTCAGTCTGTCTGTCTGTCTGTGTGCGCTGACAGTCAGCAGCCAGCCCGTCCTCTGGGCTCCATCTAAATGCGGATCAGTTTACCAGAGCAGCTCCTCGTTCGCGTCCAGCCAGCAGACAGAAAAACTCCCAACATGTCTCCAAATGTTCGCCCCTCCGCGCGCCGGGATGGAGCTTTTGTTTTCGGGGCGTTTTCAGCCGCAGACCATGTGCCAACGGCGCATCCGCTGCCCTCTCTGCGCCTCTGAGGAGGAAGGAAAGTTTAGAGCGCGCGGCTCGTGTCGGCAGGCGCGCGCTGAAGGAACTCTGCTCAAAGTGGAAAATGTGATTCACTGGAGCAGCGAGTCTGAGGGGCGTTCATAGAGGAGCTATTCTCTGGTCACCTCCCTGTTTAGCCAAGCCTGTGGAAGCAGCGCCTGGGGCCGCTGAGGCGCGTGTGTGTGTGTGTGTGTGTGTGTGTGTGTGTGTGTG